TCGAGCTTCCACATGTCTTTTACCTCTCGTTTTAATTCGGCGTCCTTATCCATTTCCTCTCTGTGTTTTCTGTCTATATTATGATTGTTTGGTATGGCAATATCAATTAGAGATGCGCTGTTCTGTTGTTTGTTTATGATAGTTATATCTGGTTTGTTGTGATTTATCGTTTTGTCTGTTATTATTTGTTTATTCCAGTAGATTTTGACCCTTGCGTTTTCTATCACTGGTTCTGGTTTGTACTGATAATAGGTATATTTCTGCAAAAATAACAAACCAGTCAGAGCTAATTTCATTGGTTGAAAACAGTCAGAAACAGTCAGAAAACTAGTTTCAACCAATAAAATTCACTCTGACTGCTTTGTGATTTCTGTAGAAACAGACCTAATATTTCGTGTTATTGTCAATCTCAAACGAATAAATTTTCAATATATCCAGGTAAACTATAGTAGCTACTCGATCATGCCTTTCTATGTATTTTGTTCCTGCCAGTATCTGGCACCCAGAAAGGATATGGTCTATCGTTTCAGGTTCCGCTTTGCATTTCTGGCATTTGTGTTTCTTATAGTTTAATGTAGCTATAACCTGGTCCTGGATACCTATAATGAATTGAATGTTTCCGGGAACAAACTTCCGTCAACCAACCACTGAACTGATGCTGGTTGGTCCACGGAATCACGCCGTAGCTCGTTGTAAAAACGACCATGAAGAGCTTTTGTTCCCCATTCCCTAAGAAGCTGGTTTCTTGGACTTTCCGTTAGCTGATTATGATTCTCGGCGTTCAGACTGAGTGATGTGTAATTGTTGTCAGCTCTGACTACAGCTCTATGAATGTCGTTTTCTTTCCCTCTGAAATACACTCTTAAGGATCGTATCTGTTGTGTGCAGGCAGCAATAGCATCGATGATTCCACGTCCCCCGTCGTCTCTTGGTAGATTGACCCTCTCCACAGCTGACCCTGGGTGATGTTTTCTAAATTTTGTTAACTCGGTCGGTATGATCTAAGTCAGTTTGCGTCGATTTCACAACACCAAATGAGTATTGCAAAATGGGAAGGGCGTAGCTGTTAATAGCCTTGGTCAAATTTTTGGAGCTGAGTTTGCTTTCAAGAAGCTTTCTCAATCGGGACTGGAATTGGTTGGTCAGTAATTGCTTGATTCTGGTGTGTTCGATCTTGTTTGTCTGCAGAATTCCGAGATATTTGTATGGGTCCTGGTTCATCGATGTCACCACTGTGGACGTATCTAGTTGCATATCAGGCCCTTGAATCAGTCTGCTTTTCTCCACAATTACTGTCTGACACTTTTTCACGCCAAAGTTCATGACAATATCAGCAGAGCTAATTTGGTGGGTCAGTATTAGGATAGTATCAAGCTGCTTTCTGTTCGTGGTGTATATTTTTAGGTCATCCATTAAGAGAAGATGGCTGATAGCTTTCGAGCTTCTCCCGTGTTTTTGGGTGAAGCCATAGCCTGACTTAGCGTTTCGGATATTGGGTTCAGAGTCAGACAGAACCACAAAGCAGTCAGTGAATCCCCTTGAAAGATACCTCGCTCTATGTTGATGGTTTCTGATTCGATGTTCGTTTCTTGGGTCCTGATGCTTAGTGAGATGTTTCATTTTGTCATGGTGTGCCGAAGGAACTTTGTGATGGTGGGATCAATGTTGTAAATCTCTTGAGCCTTCAGAAGCCAGTTATGTGGTATTGAGTCGAAAGCCTTCTGATAGTCTACGTATGCCATGCACACGTTTCTTTGCTTCTGTCAAGCTTGTTCGAGAATCACAGTATCGATGGTTATTTGCTCTTTACAGCCTAATATTTTTCGGCGGCAACCTTTCTGTTCTTCAGTAAAGATGGCCTTCCGTTCCAGGTATTCGTCGACTGTCCGACAAATTGCAGCCGAAAGAATCTTATACATGGTGGGAAGGCACGAAGAAGAAGACCGGTCTATATTGCGAGGGATCTTTGGTATTGTCGGACTTAGGGAGAAGGTAAGTGACTCCACTTACAAGAAAACTAGGGAGTTGTTCTGGTTTCCTTATTATCTTGTTGAACTGTGATGCCATGCATTCGTGAACGGAAGTAAATCTTTTTTACCAGAAGTTCTGGATTCCATCCATACCTGGAGCCTCACTCTCCTGACGTCGTCCGTCGTAAGTGTCGCTGGATTCATGGGGTTTTCTCTCGCCCTCTGCTCTTGTGTGCGTATCCAAGGTGCGTTTTCGTTGTGGCTTATTTTGTTCGATCAGATTATTTTCCAGAAGTTTGTTACTTCCTCTATTCCAGGTGCCTCTTTCACCACCAGTTTCTTGTCTAATGATCTGTAAAATTGCCTCTCGCTATTTGTAAATTGGTTGTTCTGCACTTTCCTCTGATAACTTTCTCGATATCTTCGCGGTCTTTTTGAAAGTGCTACCAGTTTTTGTTCAAGTGTGTCTAGGTGGTCCACGAGAATAGCTTGGCTTTCCTGTATTGTGTTTCCATCTAGCCGCTTAGTGAGTTCAGCTGGTTGCTTCCTTTTTGCGCTGTTTTTGGAGAGGTTGAGTTTCTGTGTTTGGCTTGGTTTTGATTGTTTGCAGCCACAGAGGCCAGAGCTGCCCAATAGATGTAGAGTTCTTGTAGGTCATCGACTCGAGGCATGATTTGTTTTAAGTGGGAGTTGGCAGTTGACAGAATTTTGTTGTAAGCAGGGTTGTAGCGAAGCTTTGGGATATTTGGTCTTAGGGATTGATCTGTACCGGTGTATTTCACAAGCATAGCGTGAAATTCGTTTCTCCGTCTGATCTCAAGGTTCGATGCATTCTCAGTGTTCGATGTCGCAGTAGGTTGTTCGTTCCTGATTTTGGTTCTTTCAAGAGGTCCATGTGGCGGTTGTTGAGGTTTTTGCTCAGTGGCCTGTTCATCTTGCCCCACGAGATGTGGATTAGCGGTTTGCTCTAATAGGTTTCTGACATTTCTCTAATCTGATTTATGGCAGCCGCTGGGAGAAGGTTACTCCGTATAATGGCTCTTCTCTCGTCCGCACTTTGTTTTGTACTTAGGTGGCTAAAATGCGGCATTGCACCCATAAAGTCGTCGTGCATTCTGTCTCGGTACATTGTCATTTCAGTCTCGAGTGTCGTGACTGTTAGGTACGATCGCATGACGTGCGTGTGTTCATTTCATTGGTCCACTTCATGCGTCGTCTTTCTTGTTCCTGTCCTGTAGGTGCAGCGTGGTGCTGCACAATATCTTGTACCGGGTCATTGTCCTGTTCACTCGGTCTGGGTAAATTTCGAGGGTGGATGCCCCAATCTTCTCTCTTTACGCGCTGATCATCGAGACGGTTCCGAGTGAGAGAACCAGCGTTCAATTCTCGCCCGCCCCGTGTTTCATTTCTTGCGTCGAAAGCATTGCTGTATCTCAGTCATGAGGGTTGCTGGTCCTCAAGACCGGTGTGGTGTACTGGCTCTTTGGGAACTGGAATGAGCATGTAACTGTAAATGTCCCTTATTCCAGCCGCCTCTAACATGATGTACAGACGCTGATGGGCTACCGCTCCTGACACGGAGAACCGTCGTGCCCGTGCTAATTTTGGCTCACCCCGGCTATTTTTTATTTATTTTTTCTCCGGTACCTTCCATATCTAGAAGGCATTCCCGTATCCACCACCTGAGGAGGCGCCCGGGATGAGTTTAGCAACGGTATGGGATTAGCAACCCATTATTATTATTATTATTATTATTATCATCGTGGATATGTAGAATTTTTTTTTGTTAGGGACAAAATAGTTTTGCTTTATCGCCATGGTATATATATAGGTACAGTGAGCTCAAACAGGTTGGAATAAATTCATTAAAAAATAAGTTAATTATTCTTCAGGTAAATGCACGCAACGTCAACTTTTATTTTCAGTAGCACATTCTATAATATTTTTTTTCACATTTACAGGGTAGTCACATGATATATTTTTTTGGACCACTCTTTATAGGTGGAAATCAGCTCACTGTATATTATTCAGAAATGTGTTGTTATATGGATGGATTCAGTAGCAAATGGGCGTACTGGATGGAATTACAAAAACAATGTGGTTTAGAGGTGTACAGCAGGTTGTGTAGAGTCCACCCAACTTGAGAATGGTACACGCACGTGCTTCGCCGCAAGTTGTGCATTGGTATATGTTATCTCGGTTGTCATAACAACGGCGAGTAGTTGGGTCATTCAGTGGCCTACCTAAATCAGATTTATTCCAAAAGCAAATGAAAATTATCAAAATAATAGCTTGCCCGCTGGCTCCGCGCAGCTTTAAATACGTCAGTGTACCATTCTTAAATTGGGTAAACTCTAGTGCTTCCTTAGAAAAAATAAAATAAAATTCAACTTGTCTTTTCTTGTAGTAGGTACCTAGGTGTCTATAGATATGTCGATTTCTTGATGATGGAATAGTCTAGTTTCGCCATAGTGATAATATATTATCGAAAACTGTACTAGAATAAATATACTATAATAGTTTGAAATGAATTTCTACACTGATGGCAAAGTTGCTCTTTTGATTCTAGAGAATTTCCTGCACTGATATTTTATTGAGAAAGTAATTTCATTCGGGCAAATTACTTACTTTATCAATAAACCTAGGCCGCGAAAGCCTCAAAAGCTCATATTTTATGTCTCAAAACAAACAAGAACTAACGAGAAACAAAGTTATGAAATGGGGCACGGAACGTTTAACGTCCAGTTTATATTAGAGTTTTTTTTATTTTATTTTACATACATAGCTCAGTTCATAATATGTCACTCAAAAACAGATCACATTTATATAAACATCACATCAATGCAAATATGTTGAAATTAAAACACCAATGGTTTTCCTGTGGCGTTTAATCAAGCTCAATAAGATATTCAGCAAACGGTACTACTGAAGGCAATCATCAATAAAGAATTTTTCGATTGCAATGAGTTTATAAATTACGTCCGTTGAAAGACTCGTTTGCGGACGGAGTTAAACATTGAACTATCCTGATTAAACACAACTTTCTGGTAGTCTATTGGCCATGAGACGTTCTTTGATGGCCAGCCCGTTTATTTCGAAATCTGATGTCCTTGTCAGTACAGTGGATGAATTTCCGTTTCCCACACATAGATCCCTTGGTCTGGAATCTCTTGGAAAAGTGCCCACCATTGGTACTGGATTGGTGCTCTGTTGGTACTAAGATTGGAAAATAAATATAATTTATTTCAATTTTACAGAATATATTACCTGGTTAACAGCTAGAGGAGCTACAGAAGAAGGATGCCTTAAAAAAAGATCACTGAGAGGCTCTTCTGACACATTAAGAGACATCAGATGGTTGTCCTCGTTTTCTGCAGCTCCTGAAATGCAAATAAACGTGTGTTTTTTCAAAACTGTCGCTAATTCCTGATTCTTACTGATTATTGAGCATTAACTTAGTCTTACAGCTATTTTGCATGGGTATTACTTAAGGCAATTTAAGTCGAACCTTAGTCAAAGTCAACCTTAAATCAAAATATCGGTTTTTACCATCATTCTAGGGTGAAGTTAGGTCTTACACAAAATATTTATTTATTTATTGTTTAATACACAACAGAGCAAACTCCAAATGGTATACTTATATCCATGAAAAACTTTTTCAAAAAAAATAAAATAAAACAAAACTGTGCTATACATATGATCACAACAATTAATACAAGGCAAATACAAATAAAAGTAAATAAACACCATACAATAGGTACATACATATGGCACCCTTTCCTTAATTACTTCCCTATTTTCCCCTTAAATCATATATCGGCGCTGCAACTCATTTTCACAGAGAGTCAAGATCCATACTGCCGTATTTGGAGTCACTGAAATTCCTCCGATCTATGGTCGTTAAAGGTTTGCTAATATTGATTTCAGTTGATTTTTGAATGTAATTGGGGTGCAATTGAATTCAAAATTCGCAGGAATATGTGTGTTGAAGACAGTGGCGTAGCCAGGATTTTGACTTGGGGGGGGGGGCAAATTTGCAGGAAGCGTCTCTTGCGGCCCTACCGCGACCCCTGCCGCAGGCGCGAAATTTTTGGGTGTCACGTCTCTTTTTCAGGTTTCTTTACGCTATTTTTGGGACTGTTTATCTTAATTTTGAAGAAATATTCATAAAATTTAAGGGTCTTGGGGGGGGGGGGGGGGCAAATGCCCCCTTGCCCCGCCCCCCCTGGCTACGCCAGTGGTTGAAGAGATGCATGATGCGATTCATGACACTATTTTTACCAACATCAGTCCGGCTTCTATTGGTTGAAAACATACCATTTAAACGCGTATAGTCCGGGACACATCTATCATGCATTCTTCCGATCCTACTTTGATCATACAATCAGGGTCCTTATTCTTGGAACAGGGAACAGCATTCCTAGGAGAACGCGTATTCCGCTGCTCCCCTGTTCCAAGAATAAGGACCTTGATTGTATGATCGGAGTAGGATCGGAAGAATGCATGATAGATGTGTCCCTGGCTTATCGCGTGGAGGTACACGAATGTTTATTGGTTAGTATTTTGAACCCGAACATGATTGTCAGAAATGCCCTACGCATCTCCAAGCTATCGATATTTAGTAGTTGCAAACGATCTTGGTGTGAAAACTGACTTTTGTCAATTCCAAGTTTGTACAACAGGAAGTTGACAAATTTCCCTTGAACACGTTCAATGCGCTTAATATGGGTTTGGTAACATGGCGACCAAACTATGCAGCAATACTCGAGGTGACTTCGCACCAATGAAAAATACAGAGACTTCAGTACCTCGATGTTAGAAAACTCCCAACACCTACGCATTATAAAGCCTGCCATTTTGAAGGCTTTTGCCAAGATAAAATTTATATGATTGTTAAATCTTAACTTAGTGTCAAAGACTATTCCTAAATCGTTAATTAGATTTACTCTTGGCAGAATGGAACGTGCAATAAAGTAGGAGTGCAGGATGGGCGCTTTTTTCCGTGAAAACGATATTATCTTGCATTTGGAAGTATTTAGTTCAGTTCCATTTAACGTACACCATTCTGATATCTTATCGATCTCCAACTGTAGAAGTGAGCAGTCATGGCTGCAAGTGATGTTTCTGAAAATTTTGAGATCGTCAGCATAGAAGAGAAATTTGCAATTGGTGAATGCGCTGGCAAGGTCATTAATGAAAACAAGAAACAAAATAGGGCCCAAATGTGACCCCTGGGGTACACCAGATGTGACTGCAATTTCTCTAGATACGGCTCCCCTAATCCTAACGAGCTGTGTTCGGTTTTGGAGGTAACTTGCAACCCAAGATAAAAGAGGGTCTGTGACGCCGAATGACTCTAGTTTATTGAGGAGCATAACATGATCTACTCTGTCGAAGGCCTCCTTAAAATCAAAATAGATCGAATCAACCTGACCCCCAGAGTCGATAGAGGTAGACAAATAATGGAAATAAACACCTAAGTTCGTCTGGCATGAACGCCCTGGCAGGAAGCCATGCTGGTGTTCTGAAAGACTGTTGTAAAGATTTGACAGAAGCTCGTCAACGACAATATATTCCAGGACCTTGGACATACAATCAAGGCCAGATATGGGGCGATAGTTGGATATGTCTCCCCTGACACCCCCCTCAAATATTGCAGTTACATAAGCTCTGAATTTCCTAGGCTTAGATCTTGCTTGAAGTTATTCGTGTTTCTGCGTGTTTCAAATTCTCGCTTTTGATTTATACGTTTTGGATTGTTTGTGTTTGCTATTATTTTATTGAAAACATTTTCTGTGTAAAAGGATGGATAATCGTGTTTTTGATTCAATAATGATGACGATTTCAATTTAAATTGGCATACCTGTAACCCCAAAGAATTTACAGTAGAGCTGGATAATTTAACTTTGACCTTCAAAAATTTTTCTGATGATTCCGAGTTACGAGACCTACGGCTCTTGAATTATTATTGACTTCGATTGAGGCTGAGATTAAATATCCATATCTATAATTTTTTAATAATGTATGGACGTTGACGTCAATGATATTTTTATAATTATGTATCGGATTTACCAATAATATATTTTTCCCAGCATTGAAAAAATTAAGGCCCCTCTTTTTCTTATTGCCTTCTTCCATTTTAGCGACACCAATTTTCAAAGCACTAGTCTTAGAGAGGTAATATTTTTTTTATTTTCTAGGTACCTTGATAAAGCAAACCTAATTGGAGTCGTGAATGAGTTGAGTTATTCTTTGGCTGGTGTTCCACCAGTAACATATATCCGTATATTATTGCTTACTTGGTGTTTGGTCATAGGTTTTGCACCAATGGACAAATAATTTATTTTTTCAATAATATAAGAGAAATTGATCTAGCCGATACTTGATGTTGGCGTAGGAATGTGGCGACCCCATTCGAGTTCAATACGTGATCGTGCAATCAGCCAGCCCTGAGCTCCAGAGACCCAATCGTCTTAGTTTCTATGCCATTGGGTCGGAACTCGAGCTTAGGGTCCGTGGGTCTGCTGACTGTGCATCAGTAAACCCACGTTAATAAGAGTCACGCACAGGCTCTATTCTAGGATACGTAAGACCATCAAGTCCAAAGCACACCAAAGTCCTTCGGATATCGGCAAGTTGCGATGAGAGCAGGATAGGGTATTCTGGGAGCTCTTAGAGGCCTATTCTGTAACTTGTCGTTACATAACGATATCGTTCTCGTAATGACTAAGTTGATAACGACAATTTTAGAAAAGCTATTCAGTAACAAGGTCGTTAGCTTTCGTTGTCGTTATCGACCTAACAACTATAACTTCATTCCACCCTACTTGAATAGGGTGCATTTATGGCAAGGATCTATTGTTCTTCTTTGTATGTGAATGTATCTTAAAGATTTTTTCTGTTCTTAATATTGAAAAAAGGCGATATTTATTTATTTATTTATTTATTTATCTTCAAATTTACATCAAAAATAAGCTGACAATTGATGCTATAAAAATCCTTTCTGTTCATGAAGACGACAGCAGGGTGGCCAAGTTGGAAATGCATATAGATGTAACAATTTTGATGTGACTACCATCGACACAACCAGCTTATTCCTGGAATGCGAAATTTTGTAGAAAACCCATTTGGTACAACGGTTGTTTCTTGAGGATTCTGAGGGAATCCAATATACACGTTTGCGAAATTGTCTACAAGTGCATCTACCACCTCATGAATATAGCAGGTAACATATTGCTTTGTGATGATGCTGCAAATCGACTAGAACCAAGTGGTTTCTGGTAACGGTGGTAACTTCCTTTTGCCAAAAAAAGCAAACAGGTGAATAACCTTACAATTGGAAGTCCTTGAACCATTTTCCAGAAAATGCAACAGTGGTGTAAAAATACTTTGAGCAGTTTCGTCGTCCGGTCTAAACATTTGACGAAAACCTTTCTCTGGCAATTTCAGGGTATTGCGTACATCACTATGGATCAACCTCCTTGTCCCAAAAAAATGACCAGCCAGTTTCTATTTGATAAAAGTATTCTCTTGCCGTTTACGGACTTCATTAAGAGCAGCTTCTTCTAATTCAGGATCCATTATCAATCAAAATCGCCAGTTAAATATACTAAAAACACTACCAGTATGCAACTATAACGATCGTTATACTTGTAACGAGGGCCACTGGGCTGTCGTAATCTAACGACGCTTTTGCGTCCATTTTATCGTTACAATAACGACGACCGAAAGTTACTGAATTGAAAAAGTCATTAGCTAGCGACAATCGTTGAATAACGACGTCGTTACGAGTTACAGAATGAGCCTCTTAGTCGCAAACCGGCACGTCGTTTTGCAGAAGGATTATCTGTAGATCAACTCGTGTACTGCATATGTGACTGAGCAGCCCCATTCGAAATCCGCTCTCTTCACCCTGAAAAGGAAGAGGCTATAAAAGGTGCCCTAAACATAGCCAGCCAACAACTGCCCAACTGGATAACCGCGTCGAGATGGTGCACCTCATGCGGTCGAAAAAAACAAGCTCGATCTTGCCACGTGGAATATTCGTACACTTATGGTAACAGCACAAATACAATAATGGCAATGGTGGCACAGGATTGAAGGAGATTTAACATCGATATTGCAGCTCTAACTGAAACCAGAAGAGCAGGCGAAGGTCAAGTCAAGGGGCACGTAGAATGCTATACCTTCTTCTGGAAAGGGAAGGAAGGGAATGAACCTCGCATTCTCGGAGTGGGTTTTGCCATAAAAAATTAATTTATAGACCATCTTGCTGAGCTTCCATCCGGAATATGCGAAAGACTGATGACACTGCGCCTTAAACTCAGCAACAGCCAACAAGCTACGCTAATCAACGACTTCGGTCCGACCCTCACAACCGACAAAAACCAAAAAGAGGAATTTTATGCCCAGCCTTGCGAAACCATATCATCTGTCCCTAGATCTGATAAACTTTTTCTTTTAATTGGTTTAATTTTATCGCCCGGGTGGGTACAGAGTCAGATCTATGGAAAGACGTGATAGACAAGGAAGGCGTTGGAAAAATGAACCTGAGCAGATTTCGGCTACTAAATGTGGCATCAGATATTTAGCCTGTTTCGTTCTAAATGGTATACCCTGTATAATAGACCTATTTAGTTTGTGTCAAACAAAGATATAAATAGCAATTTGAGGTTGCTAGAAAGAGTAACCATTATTTTTCATGCGCAACGGGGATCGATTCAAAACCTGCGCAAATGTTGGTGGATCATACCAATGACGTCAAATGAAAAGAGATGAAAATACTCCGATAGTCACCTAACGAACTGCTCTTCTTCCGAAAAGAACGTAATCGTTTGTTGTATTTTTGGATTATTATTTTTTTTGTGGTTGTGTCATTTGTCCTTCTGACTTCATGTTTACATATTTATATTTATTTGGAGAGAGATTTATTTGTATTGTTATTGTGGTGTGAGAGTGTAAAAACTGTGAATTTTAGTGAGCTTTGCTTTCATGATGAGTGATACTGATAGAAGCGTGTGGTCGAGAGACCTTTTGTCTTTCAAAAACTTCCATTTTGGGATCGCTGAAGCCTTCTTCGAAAAGCAGTCATGGACGAATAGGCAACGTGATCGTGGCTATCGATTTTTTGCTGAAGGGTATATCCAGGAAGTTTTCACAAATAAAAGTGAGTGCATCATCAAAGCAAAGTGCTCCAGAAGCCAAAAAAAAAAAAAATGAAATCCCTCATAGACTTCATTTGACGTTTTCACCATCAATGGATGTTATGATTGAAGGTCACTGTACATGTGAAGCTGGGTAAGAAAACTATATTCTGGATATATTAGTAGTGTTGTTGGAATAATGGTATTTTCTAGGAACTCGCAATCCTGCAATCACCTCGTTGGACTGGCATACTACTTTCAACATTTGATTTTGAATGGGCTTAAGCAAGTTCTTGAAACTGCATCATGCACCTCAATACCGATGGAGTGGAATAAACCAAGAGGAACAAAAATTCTGCCAGAACAAATTCCTAATAGTGTATTCATTGATTCAACCAACATCGAAAGGAAAAAAGCACCTGTAGTTTGTCGGATAAAAAGCCCCATAAGAAACAGCAAGTTGGAGAAAATCACACAATTAAGTGTTGCTCAATTAAAAACTGCATTAAATAGTATCAATCCATTGATACCATTCGCAAGCACACTTTGTACCCAAAGTATGACTGCTCAAAATAGAATATTCATACAGGATGGTATGTACCAGCTTTTGTTAACATTATTATTTCCTTATACTGATTTTTTCAACCAATAGGTATATCTGTGCCAGCGTCATCACTATTGGGTTATATGGCACGTGTAAAAAGAAATGCTGTTTCTGTGATAGGACTTGCAGAGGAACACGTGGAAGAAGTGGAAGGACTACCTTTAGCCTTGCCATTGGACATAGTGGTGCCGCGAGACGAGACTAGACGAGACTTAGGGTTGGTCTCGTCTCGTCTCGACATCTCGAGACGAGACCGTGATTTAGTCTCGGTCTCGAGTACCAAAGTCTCATCTCGTCTCGAGTGGTCTCGTCTGGTCTCGAGTTATACAGGGTGTCCAAAAAATAGCGTAAAAAATCTTCTCTACGTGGTGGAGGACCCTACAAGGTACCCCAGAAAAAGACTTTAAAAAATCTAGTGGCATTCTTAAGAAAGTTATTTGCATTTTAATATTTATTAAAATTGGCAACACTGAAAATATCCCGTTGACAATATGTCAGAGAATTGTATTAAATACCCATGTAACTACCTGAAGAATTCGAAGGTGAATTTTTACATCTACCTCTTCATATCACCAAGAATAATGCTGAAGAAGGATTTTTTTAATTTAATTATTTTTCTAGGGTTTCTCAAAGGGTCCTCTACTACGTAGAGAGTGTTTACGCTATTTTTCGGACACCCTGTATTTATGGTTTTTGTTTTTATATTATAACGGAAGTCCAAATTGCCACAGTGAAAAAGCAATTAGTAAAAAATCACAGTAAAGAGTAACCCTGATATTTAATTTACTGATTTCATATTCAAATAGCCCAGAATAGTCCAATAATAAAGCTATGAAAGAAAAATTTTAAGTGTAAACTCGAGACTCGAGTCTAAACGAGACTCTCGCCGAGTCTGGTCTCGTCTCGTCGAGACTTCACGAGACGAGACCAAAAGCCAGTCTCGTCTCGAAAAGTCGAGACGAGACGAGACGAGACAAGACCAGTCTCGAGTCTCGCGGCATCACTAATTGGACACAAAAGAAATGGTGGATATTTTGATAAGTGTGGCGCCAGTTCACCATGCCTCATTAGATACACTTACCATGGAGCAAGCTGCCACAATAGAAAAAGATACGAGGCAACAGAACCGGAGTGATCTTTGGAAAACTCTCAGAAAATTTCGTTTTACAGCTTCAAAATTTGGTTATGTATGTAAAAGAAAATTATTCAATAGTGAATTTATTAAACAATTTGTGTGCCCTCCTGATATAAGTCATATCAAAGCTGTGGCTCATGGAGTGAAAAGTGAACAATTAGCCATAAATGCATTTTTGAAAGTATATAATCAGTTCACTCACTACAAATGTGCTTTGATAGTGCACCCATATGCTATCCATTTAGGTGCAAGCCCTGATGGCATCTTATATGACGCTATCTTTTCCAGCTTTGGTGTTTTGGAAGTGAAATGTCCTTGTAGTGGTAGGGCAAATAGTTTGGAGGAGTACACCCGATTGAAAACCTTCCGTATGAGTTACGAACAAAATAAGGAATTGAGATTAAAAACCAACCATAATTATTTTTATCAAATTCAGGGGCAAATGCTGATAACTGGATTATCATGGGCATATTTTGTTGTGTTTATAGCAAAAACACAACAAATTGTATGTGATAAAATCCTATTCGACCAAATTTTTTGTTTAGAAATGTACCAAAAATTGACTCAAAGGTATGATGAACATCTGAAAGATGTGGTTGTTCTGGATGTCACCGAGGATGTCACATAATTAAAAGGCAATTTTATAGTTTTTTATATCTACAGTTTACTTATTATACAATGGTTTTACATAGCAACAAGTGCAGCATCTGCTTTGTCCATTGGTGTCTGATTCTGATTTATTCTTTCACACGCCAATGGTCACCTGACCTCACACCTGTTTTTTCTGGATTTTTCCTCCCCTCGTTCTTCATACGGAAAGTGTCAAATGAAAAAAAAAAAAGCTAAATAACATTAGGTATCTGAATGCCTTTCTTGGAACAAAAATAACATCGAGCCCTTCTTTCTGAATATTAGTTTATCCAGAAACCCACAAAATCGAGTGTAAATCACTGATCTCGTATAAATACCGTAATTATGCTAAACAAAAATGAGTATGTAAAGAGTTTCCGTGAGCAAAGATCAACTTTGTGCACGCAAATGGGTGTGCAAAGTAATAACTTTGCGCACACGAGTAGAAAAAATATTATTTTGTTATTAATTTGATATTTTTAAGAAATAAAAGGAAAAAAAGTTTGTTGCTCTGGGGGGGGGCAATTGCCCCCTTTGCCCCCCCCTGGATACGCCACTGTAGTCATAGAAGTTAAAATAATATTTTCTTATAAATCCGTTTATACACAAATCATAATCATAAGCATAAGCATGAGCATAACTCAAAGTTGGCAACTTTTAACTTTTATGATTATGACTAAGACGAGATTCAAATTGAGCAAGCGCCATTATCAGCTGTTACAGAGAAAAACAATTCAAATCTGCTATTTTTAGTAGTGTGTATTTAAATTGATCTTGGGTTATTCTAGAGTATTCAAAAAATTGATCTCCATCGAGCTTCCACATGTCTTTGAATAATGTGGCAAAATGCCCTTCCTTCTGCCTTTCTTTATTGATGGGCCTCACTTTCCACCGTCTTTGTCTATGGTTCGCGTTTGTTGAAGTTGTTTATTAAATGACACAGCCATAAGTGAAGCAAAGCTCAAAAATAAATAGGACAGACCTATCACTTGTATGGTTTTCTTTCGCAGAATTTTAATTTTCACACTTTTCGAAACTTTGAAAAAGTAAATACACGAGTTTGATTCGCAAAAAGGAAACAAACTCTCCCTACAAAAAGTTGGGTTGAGTGTTATATTTATGTAAAGTTATGATGTTGTATAAACGCGTTTAAAATTGTGCTTATGATTAAGACTGCGATTATGACTATGATTATGATTATGACTATGCGAATGTTGTATAAACCCGCCATTACAATCTAAAACTTTGTGTCCCTCAGTCATTTGAGTTTTTTTTTCTAATATTGTTATTGTTTTGTATTTTTCTATTATATCAAATATGTAATTAATTTTATGTACGACCCCCACTATAAGAGCTTATTAGTATTACGTAACCCATTTTAGCCTGTTTGAGTTACGTAATAAGTTATATTATCATACTAGTGCTTGAAGCGTTGCTTGAAATACTTGTTGAAGAAATATTTTCTATCAGCCTGGCTAGATAATGTAGACTATCACACGTATGGTAACTCTCATTACATCCAGGGCCGTCTCTAGCCATCTCGGGGCCCTAGGCACTTTCAAATTTGGGGGCCCCTATCCCCATGTTTTTTTTTTTGTGAAAATGTCAAAAAAGGCAACAATAATTATTCGGAACAGAATTTATTTACATAGGGTGTCCACTAGTGCGATATCGGACGAATCATGGATTAAATTTAAAGTTGGTGTTAAATGATAGTTTATGAAAATCTAAGACAGGAATGTAAAATCGGTTTTCGTCTAAAATTTACCGTTTAGATTTTACAGCCTGTCAAAGTTGCAAAATGTCAGTTTTTAACTGTCAATATTTCCAAAACAGTTGAACCTAGGTATAGGGTATATCACATGAAATCTGGTCAGAATTTTACGTAGAATCCAAATATGCAATCACATACAGGATGTTCCATTTAAAATAAGAAAATTCTGTCGCATATCCCAAAAACGGAGCACCCTGTATATTTCAAAATATTTTCAACTAATGCATACTAGAGTACCAAACAACTTTGTAATTTTTTTTTTCTTGCATCACCCTGTAAGGAAATATCGTCCGATATCGCACCACTAAGTGGACACCCTGTATATATCAAAAATAACAAAATGAAACGCATATTTTTAGGTACATATACAAACAAATAAGTAACCTTTGCCTAACTAAATAATAATATTCAATAGGTATATGTGCTACAAGAAACACAAGTCACAGGACATTAGGGAGTTATTGGACGTGCAATAAGGACAAGCAGTATTTAAATTAGCCTTATTTTGACATCTACGCATGCGCAGTTGGGTCCGAAAATAAGGATTCTCTTTATAAGGTTACTGCTTGTCTTTATTTGTGTATAGTTAGTGCGAGGCAGTAAACTTCCCTTATTTCAAATTTCTGACATTTTGGACGACTTTGACGTTTCGCTTTTCGATGATGACGTAATTTTATTAAGAAAATTTACTTTTTACCATAGTTTTCCATTTTACTGTGGGTAACATCAAAAAATGGGTACCAGCAGAAAATCACAAACAAAAATAAACACTTTTTAAGGCTAAAATTTATAAACATAGCTATCAGCTGTCAAAATTATGAATACAAAATAAGGTAATACTCTAGCACCTACTACAGTCTTCCAATAACTGTTTTTTTCTTGGAAAAATAGTGCTGATGCACTAATAAAATAACGTAGATCCCTAATACTGCAAGGCACTATTTAATAGTTCCAATAACTCTCTATTTACAATACAAAACAATTCTAAATATTTTATGGCGTTTTCCATTTGTTTTCTGAGTTTAGCACTCGCCACTCAATACAGCAATTAGGTTCCGCAAATAAATGATAGATTGTCGGACAGCACCTAGTTTATATTCAAATAATTATTATTTGAATATTATTTCATTTGATATTATTGATATTATCATTTATTAATATTATTTGAATACTTGAATACTATAAAAATTAACGACGGGGCCCCCTATGACAGGGAGGTTGATAGTTTATTAAGCAGAGTAAGGCAAGCGCGCCACTGAATTGACAAAAAAAAATTAAATTGAATAAAATTTTGGGATGTGAAAATTCAGAAACACACCTAGAAAATAATCAGCAAACGGTAATTGGTAATTCTGAAAAGGAAATAATTAAAGCACATAACTCAAATCTTGACATAGGTAAACCAATAAAACAATTAAGTAAATTTCAAATTAAAATAGTATATATTTTCACAGTCCGTCAAAAATCTAGCATTGAATTATTTCAAAATATAAAATCAATTATTGTTGAAGCTCAAAAAAATAAAATAATAGTATAGTAACAATGCACCTCAATATACTTGCGTATAAATTCATTAACAGTCGCTGGCCATACCATTATCATGAAAGGAAAATATAAACATTTAGGTTTCCAGAAAACTAAATGAAAAAAAAAAAAAAAATAATTGAAAATTGTATTGATAAAATATGGTCAGCGTCTGCAAAAAAAAATAAATTCAATAAAATCAATTTGTACCTGTAAGAAATCGAAAGTTGGGTTATATAGCAATTAAATGGTTTAGAGAAATCCTCCAATGTATAAAATATAGGACCCAGGGTAAAAATTGATCAATTTTCGACCGACGATATAGGGTTCTTACTTAATAATTTTAAATTTAGAGCATGTTGTCAAACCTTGACTTCTGTTCAGATTATTAATCGATTAATATTGATAAAATATAGGACATTACTTAAATATGGCGGTACTAAAAGTTAGGTAATAAAAAAATCTATAGTAAATACGGCAAAACAAAAATCGGAAATAACTATTTGAAGTTCACTAAGATGTCAAGAATAACATGAATGAAATTGAAACTTTAAAATTTAAAGGTACCTTATGTGGATGAAAATTTAATCAACTATGGTCATTAACCATAAAGTAAATTTTATAAAAGAAAGGTGATAAAGGTTATAAATGAAACTTTATAAAAGCCTCAATTCCAACAAAATTGTAGAGTACGGTAGTTGGTAGCCATCCATTTGACTTGACGAGAGAAGTTGCAGGTTGAAGTGTGCAGATTCTAGCCTGGAATCGAGGTAGATGGAGGCTAGAAGTTCAGTTTTCTTCATCAAATGTGGAGGTACAGGTATCGACACGTGAAGGACTCAAGAGCTCTATGCCAAGAGATGAGGCTAGTTGAAAATGGATCCCACGAGAAAAAGAGTTCTCCGGTAAAAACAGGTCTCTGATAAAACCCACGAGGGTTTCGAAATTCAAACTTGAATTAAACGTTAATCACAAGACTTTTCATTTAAATTTTCTCGGTAATCAATGGATTATTGCCTTACGCAACTTTACTTCGTTGAGATAATGCCTGAAGGCCGATGAGGTACTTTTTTTCACGAGAACGGTAATTAAACTTGAGGAACATGGCTGCCAAACCTATCAACCTGTTGACCCTCAGCTATGTGAAAAGTGCTACGTTCGAAAACTATTAACGAGGTTAAAGAGCAACAAAGAACTACGTCGAGCAGATCAAGGTAGTACAAAAGAAAGCGCCTACGCCGTCACCGATAAAATAATTAATTCAGCCGGCAATAGATGCCGCCATATGGATTGAATGATTATAGAAATTTTAAAATGTGAATAAATAATTATATAAAAAAAACAATCTAGTAAAAAAGTTTTTTCCGGGCTATAATGCCGTGGTCCATTAGTATTTCTACCTAACGTTTCGTCTACTGCTGCGGTAGACATCTTAAGAGGCGGTGTGGTAGAGGACGAAGTGTTCTCTTCCGTGTTCCTCCGATGACTGGATTCGACGTTGTTGGACCTGCGTTATTTATATCCAGAGTTGTGGGCAAGACTTGTATTACGCTATTCTCTCGTTCTCGGATAGGAAGGGTCTTTGTTTTTCGGAGAACTGGCAACCAGCTTTGTTGAGGTTCATGCCCTCTTCTTTTCTGTTGAAGTTGTTGTGGTGTTTCTGTATCTCTATGGCTTCTCTGTGGAGTCTGGTGTAAAAA